TAATTTTAACTTTAATACAGTTGAGACCCATGCCTTGGGTATTGGAGTGATCGGATGTGTTCTGTTCAGAGTGGTAGAATCTTCAAAACAAAACCAAACCACCCCAGACAAACACATAAAACCCCGAACCAATCAGTGAAAGTACCTTACTGATTTTACAAGGTTTAATGTGTTCCTTTTCAGGAATATTCAACGGCGATAGACATGTGGTCCGTGGGCTGTATATTCGGCGAGCTGTTAACCCAGAAACCGCTGTTTCCAGGGAAGTCAGAAATCGACCAGATTAACAAAGTTTTTAAGGTAACATTTTTAACAACTTTGGATTCTGACTGGTTTTAGAGGCAGGTACCTTAGAGTAGTAAGAAATTAAAAGGGCTTGTTGCTCTTTGACAGACATTCAACCTTAATGAAAGGCTCATTAGTCTGATTGCTCACTCCTCAGTGCTGATAGGCAGCGAAGATCATGAGTTGTGTTTTCTCTGGGTATTTACCAACTCCTGTAGCTACATAACAAATAAGCAGAAGGGGTTGCACTATAGAATTAATTTATTGAGGAAATGTTTTCCTTGACAGGATCTGGGTACTCCAAGTGAAAAAATCTGGCCTGGTTACAACGAGCTGCCGGCAGTGAAGAAGATGACGTTCACGGAATATCCCTACAACAACCTGCGCAAGAGATTCGGAGCGCTCCTCTCTGACCAGGGCTTTGATCTGATGAACAAGTGAGTGCTAGATCCTGGGGTGTCCTTGGGAAGATGTGTTCCCGTGCTGGGATAGTGGTCGGAAATGATTTGCAGTGAAGCACGGTATGTCGGTGCATTTCACCTTGTCAGAACATGCTGCTGTGTTTTGAAGTTTGTGACATTCCTTGTAACAGCTTTATTAAGGATACCGTGCTCTTACCATCTGCTGTTAAACCTCAGTCCGAGATTGTTCTTGCACACCTATAGCCTAGAAGAATAGATAAATGTTTCAGTAGTAGTTCTAGCTCATTCATGTTGTTTATTTACATGGTGAGTCAGCTGTCATGCAGTCTGCTGCTGGATCCTGTTAAAAAAATTTACAATTCAAGAAAGGAAAAAAACCCAGTACATCCCAGAGATCATATTAAAAAATTAGGAAAATAGCAGTCTTGGTTTTTTTTCATAGGTTTTCAAAGTTAACTAGTTCTGTCACATCTGATGTTCTGGCAATTCTTTTAACTGACTCCACTGGTGCATTCTGATTGCATTCCAAATAATTTTACTTTAGAAGCTTTACAATGGCTTGAGATATTTTTGTTCCCCTCCCTACCCTAATCGTCCCTTTAAATTTCAGGACATGAACTGGTGGAAATTATTTTCAGATATTATTTAAATTTTTTTTTTAATTATTTTTTTGAAAAAATGGGGGATTTCCAGTCTTCCAAATTTTCAAGAATTGTGCTGCTTCAGGTTTCTGAATGAGTTGTGAATAATTGATTGGCAGTTAGGTAACCTTTCAGGAGGTCCACGCACAACTTGTCTTCATAAAGAGGGATGTCACATCAGTGCTGCTTAATTGCTCTGGTTGTGACAGGGCTCTGTCTTCATAATTTTGGCTAAGAATGACAACACTACACTACTCCTGGAGGTCTGGAACTTGCAGAAACACACAAGCAAGCGTCAGTGGAACTCATTCCATGTACAAATCTTGGATAAATAAGCATTTACCTCGTCAGGGCCAGATACTGTTTGGTAGGATGAACAGTATAGTAAACTAAGTTTCTGTATTACAGAAGGTTTAAAATAACCACAAGCTGTACAGTCAAGTTACACTGTATTACAATATTTTATGGTGTATCAATATAATCTCAGTTTGTCTTCTCTAAAAAGCAAAGTAGCACTGTCAAAAAATATTTTAATTGAACCATCCTGGCTCCCTTTGGAGCTGTATCTGACTACCCATAGGTTCTGAGCTGTCTAACAACGTACACCTCTGTAAACAGAGCCTGACAAAAGCTACTGCTGAGCTGCAGTTCTGTTAATTCTAGGTTCATGTAGGAAGCTAAGTGTTAGATCGCTGATGTCAGCAATCATACCCATTAATAGATTTTTTTGTTAAAAATCAGAAAATTCTAAATTGTACTTCTGAAGGCTTTATAGGCTCAAATTTTGCTTCTTTCTGGCCCTCTTCTTCCCTATTTCATTGTCTTCTTAATTTCTTCTCAGCTTTTTGACATACTACCCAGCCAGAAGAATTACTGCTGAAGATGGTTTGAAGCACGAGTATTTCCGAGAGACTCCCCTTCCGATCGACCCCTCCATGTTCCCCACCTGGCCAGCAAAAAGTGAACAGCAGCGGGTAAAACGCGGCACCAGCCCGCGACCCCCCGAGGGAGGCCTTGGATACAGTCAGTTGGTAAGTGGAGCCGATTGAGGCCATTTCTTGTGTCCTCAGACGTGTCCAAATCCTGATTTTGGAAAAATTTCTGTGGACTGCATTTTGTCAGCCTTCCGGGGCTCAGGATCCTAAGCCCCACCTGTATCTGCATGAAAAAGACACTACAGCAGTCCCGTTTTCCCTGTTCCTTTTCAGAGGGTGGTTGCAATCACTGTTGTGTTCACAGCGTCATCATTTCAGTATGTGATCTCAGAAAGAAACGGTGCCTAGTTTTATCACAATGCAGAATAGTTTTTCTTCTGAAAGTGTACATTGTTTTACACTTTCCACTAAGCTTTTAAAGTGCTGATTTATTTTTGAAAAAAAATAGTATAGGTCACAGTTCCTGTTTATACAGTGTGTTCACTAATTTTTTTCTCTTTTAGTGGTGCAGTCAAAAGTGGGTATAAAAACCAGGTGTACACTTGAGATGCCTTTAGAAAAAATAACTTCTGAAAAAGCAAAGTGTGAAGATCACGAATTAACACTCTGCATTGACCTTAGCTATGATGCCACTGAATCAAACACTTGTTTCCCATCTCCTAGAGATCCTTTGGTGGTTTTTTTTTTTTTTTGGTTTTTAGATTTTTGTGAGAGGTAAATGCACCTGTATGGCCACTTACTGATCAGGGAATTGGTTTTCGCAGGGTGATGATGATCTGAAAGACACGGGTTTTCATCTGACCACCACCAACCAAGGAGCATCTGCTGCAGGACCTGGTTTCAGCCTCAAGTTTTAAACTTAACGTGAAGGAGGCAGGAGGGAAAAACCCAAACCAACCATTCATGTGAGTGGATTTCTGAGTGCCCCAGTTCTGTTCTTGATGTCAGGGGGGATAGATGGTTTTTACAGAGAAAAAGTCAAACGTCACCACAGCTTCAAAGGCTCTTGCTGGGTGTGGAGTATAACTGCTGCATTCCATTGAGGACTGGAACTAACCTGAAAAGCCAAGGATCGTTACAGAATTTGACAAAGGAAAACTTGAAGTACAATCCTGGAACAGTTCCTGGTTTATTTTTAGGTTGTTTTTTCTTTTTGTTGGGTTTGTTTTGTTCCTTGTAAATTTGTAGAATTAAAATACATTTTTAATTGTTTAACTGTGTGAAGGATTCCATTTCTTCACATTCAGCAAACGTGGATGGTGGTGGCATTACATCTTCTAGAGTGAAACTTATTCCCCCCCTGCTGCCCCCAGATCTGTGCTGACACTATTGCAGCCTCCTGGCAGCCTGGGCAAACAACTTCTTTAAGGAAATTGTATGTGTCTGAATAGAGTTGGGGCAAAACACCGTAACAGTTCAGAGTTCTCTCTCCTGTTGTGCGCCTTGGAGAGAGCGAGGCTGGGCTGGGCTCAATACTCCCCACAGTATTTCTGGGTGCACTCCGGAGCTGACACTGATGTCTGGTACACGTGTATTTATGATGGCACTGGTGCAAAAGTAAGTACTCAATTGTTTTATAAATCAAAAAGATTTACTATGGACACTTGAAACCTTATTTTCTATAGAAAGCTCTTTCAAATGTGCCCCTTTTTCCATCAGAAGAGCTTACCTTTACTGATAGTGTAACACCATACTCTGGTCCCTTCTCGTAAGATGAAAGACCAGAGGAATCGTGTTGTGGTATCACAGTGGGCCGAGTCCCTAACGTATAATGCTGTCATGCTGGGACCAGGAGGAGCTGGAAATGCCGGGGTATTCGTGCAGTCAGCACTGGGCACCAGTCCAGGAACAGGATTAACTCAAATTACAAACATTCCATGGATTTTGGTGCATTTTAAGAGTTTGCCTGCCAATGCTAATGCTGCTTTCCTGCTGGATGGGGCACGTTTACCTCAGCACTGCGGTGACAGGGGGGAGGATGGTGATGGCAGCCACCTCCTCACTGCTGAAGGAGTGGAGAGGCCGATTGATCAGAGACCTACAGGACAGGTTATGAGGCACTGCTGAAGGAGGTAAATAGTTTGTTGGAATTACAGGAGTAATAAATGCAAACCACAGGAAAGCAGTTGGGGAAAAAAGATGTTCTGTGGATACTTGAACTGAACACGTCAAAACGTGGAAGGGAGTAATGAGAAAGGGTTTGTTGTGACCATACATCCTCCTTCTGAGAAGTGAAAGAAAAAGTAATATTAGGTCTTACACTTTTTTATAAGTTCTTCTAGTCTATGCACCAGGATCTGAAAAAATGACAGCAAAACTTACAGAGTATAACCTGTCATTTTCCTTCCACAATACCTGCCTCCATTGGAACACAGCTGAGCCATGGCCCTGTTCATCCATTTGTCTGACAAAGCGTTATGTTCTTTTTCAGCAGTCCACAGTGATCCACACAGTTTAACTGCAAAATCTGACACTTCACTTTTTTTAAAAAAATTTAATTCTCTGTACAGCACATACTTGGTAAACTCTTTATAATTAAAACTAATTTGGAAAAGTTTTATGTTCCAGTACTCAAGTCTCAGAGTCTCTTTTGCCCAAGGTACGGAAGCAGCTGATGCAGAAGTTCAGTTGCACTACAGGAGATTAAATATCAAAGGCCAAAGAAACATTTTGAAAGAGAACTGGCAGCAATTGAAGTGCTCGTTCCAGGGCTCTCCTCAGTGCTTCAGTCTGATTCTCCAGGAATATGTTGTCAAGATTCGTTCTTTTTTCTTTACTATACAAGTGTAAGTTCCTTCATTAATGGCATTTGCAATGATGCTCATGTGATCGTCATTTAGGGATAAATAACCTGGATATGAGTACTCCAGAAGCTCCTTGTCTTTATACCAGCTGTCATGAGAAAAAGAACAGAAATTAAACCACAGAACGCCCAGTACTGAGCAGCATGTGTTAGTGGTTCTTTCTCCAGGCAGGTTTTCCATGATAAGTGTACAGCACAGGTGGGACATTAACAGGGTGAATTTATATTTCAGGTGGATGATGTTACACCAGGGCCCTCTCCTGAGTAATTACGGTGCTTGAATCTTATTGAAAACTGATGGGAATTTAGGTCCTCAGTCTAAACTAACTCAGTTTTCAATACATCCAGCAATAACACACTTGGACATTAGTAAGCTGACAAATGGAAGGGGTAAATTTAAGCCTGCAGTTCTTTGCAGAAGAGGGGTCTGTGGTAAGAATTATCTTTGTGCTGTATCTGTGAATTGGGTTTTATCCTTTCTCACCTCAGCTCGCTTATCTCCGATAGCTCTGCTCTCAGCCTCACTGCTTTGCGGTATTACCAACAGTATTTGCACACTCCCTTCCCCCAGCTCCCAGCCACCCCTCTGGGTGCCCGATGGCACCTTCACCAGCAAATCATCTGCATTCTCATCTACGCTGGTTTGTCGTAATTCCTCATCCTTTTTGGGTATGTGAGCAGCAGAGTCTCCTAAAGGACTGAAATAAATGACGGAGCACTTACTAAACTTTGCCTTTTTTATGAATTATCTTCTGTCCACAGCGGAAGGTGACGTTCCTGCCTTCAGACACAGTCTTGGTTTTTGTCCTTGGTGGGGGCAGAGTAGGGGGAACCGTTGGAAAGGGGAATTCTGTCCACCAGAGGTGAGAGAAAGAAATGGCAAAAGTTAGAACATCTCATTATCAAGCTTTAGTCATTCCAGAATGCTTTCACAGAATTCTATTATTGCCTAAGGAACCTGAAAAGTGTTAATTTACATCAGCATCTCCCTTCTGCAGCTGGGAGCTGGGTCCAGAAGGGAACCCATCTGAGGCACACGGAACAGGTGTGTTTTCAGACACTCCCTATCACTGCTTCATTTAAAGTAGAGAAGAACGGGACACTTAAATTGTCTAGTCCACAAATGGTTAAACATAAAAGCTGCTTCCTCTTATCCAAGCCTCCACCTTGGCTCAGATGTCTAAGGAGCCAGCGCTGCTGTGCTGCTCTGCGGAGCTGGATGGGGCTGGGCACCTGCGTGCACTGAGCTCTGGGCTGGAGTTGAGATCCTGCCTCTCCCTGCAGCAAACACAGCCTAACTTCTACCTCCTCCTCTGTGCCAACCCCACCAGGAATCCCAGAAAAAAAAGTTCAATACCATAGCAGAAGTCACAGGCAGAGGGACAGTGCTTTTTCATCAGCTTCCTGCGCTTCTCGCAGAAACCTTTCTGTGCCCACGATGGGCACATAAATAATCTGTCTTTACATCCTGAAAGAGAAGGAGACAAGGCATGAGTGGGATTGGGGTAGACTTTCTTCTGAGAAACAAATGGACATTTCACCCAAATCAGATTGTTCAAGGGAAAGGGCGGAGAGTCCCTCAGCACAGCACCATCGTTACACAAGCAGGCGGCTGGACACTGAGCCACGTTGGTGCAGCAGCATCAATGATGCAAGAGAGTTGCTATTTTTAAGTCCTACATCAGGTAACGTTTGAAGAGTAGCAGACAACGTGGCAGAGCCTGAGCAGATCTTTCCACAGCCCATTTGGTTTGTGGAGGCTTTTTTGTCATGTTCTATTAATCCAGCCCAAAGTCCAGCTGTTTGCCTCCCCCTCCTGTGTGTCTCAGCTTGTCCTTCCCCTCTGTGCACCTGATGCTCGCAGCCACACAAACGCAAGCTAGGGCCCTCCACGGCTGAGGTTGGCCTTTTCTTCAACCTTTATTCTGCCTTCCTTACCGTAAAGTCTGTGAATCCCCCAGACTTCGTCCTGAGAGATGGTCTTCTTCCCCGTCAAGGTGGCATTGATGTGCATGAGGGCGTTGGGGTTCAGGGAGTGCATCAGTCCCAAGGCGTGTCCTATTTCATGAGCCGCTACGTGGACCAGATCTGTCAGCCAGACACCTGGGAGGGAAAGGGAAAAACGGGCGGCACTGTGTGATGAAGTACATCTGCTAATCCTGGTGTAAAACCAGAGGAAATCCTTTAGCACTGGGACTGTGTGGTCTTATCAAAGGTTGCCCCAGTTTCATCTTCTCTGTAGCTGCTTGGCTGCAAACAGAAAAGCCAGTTCTTTATTTCCACATGCTTCTGATTTCAAACAGCAGGACACAGCAGCAACGGCAGACTCGGGGGGGGGGGGACTGCTCGGAGCCTCGTTTGAATCGAAGGCAAGTGCCCCGCTAACAGTTATTCTTGTCGGCTTTGTGCTTTGTTCCCGCAGCCCCGAGCTGAGACTGGAAAGGGCTGGTTGGGACCAGAGCTGAGAGTGGAAAGGGCTGGTTGGGACCAGAGCTGAGACTGGAAAGGGCTGGTTAGGACCAGAGCTGAGACTGGAAAGGGCTGGTTAGGAATGGGATTGCTGGCGAGAATACTCCGGTCTGAAAGAGCCTCCAGCTGACCTCTGCAAACTCAAGCTTCTCAGTAGCATCTTGAAGGCTGCTTCCAGCAGAGATGGATTTTAACTGAAGGATGACTCAAGAGTGTTCTTACACCTATCTTCACTTATTTGGTGAAAAGCAAAATGTCTTACTTTCCAAAAAAGTACCGAGTTGGTCATATAATATGAACCAAATTTTCTAGTTAGTCAGAGACCATCTGCTTTTAACTACAGTTAGATTTGACATTGCTTAACAAATCAAGAAGCAAAAAAAGCACCAAGCTCTACATAACACAGACATTTTTAGGTGCCCACAAACCCAAAACCACTAACACGTAACTGGCCGTGCCAGCCCGTGGAAGTCACACAGCACAGCCCTTCTCAGAGGTGCACCTGCCTGGGCAGAAGCCTGTGGAGTATGTGGCTGAACAACTGAGTAACTCCACTGAACTGTTCAGAAAGCAGCAGCACTGCCGCCACACACGGTCCCTTATAGCACAGAGCAAGACCAACAACTTCACAGAATCACAACTTCTCAAACTACAGAAACTTACCCCCAGTTCTTTGTCTCTTTCCAACAGCAGGTAAACCCCAGAACAAGGACTAAAGATCTAAATCCCATGGGCATTCATTCCATGCTCCCTGGGACCCGTGTTACCTTTTTTCCAGCTGAAGCGGGTGTTCCCCAATATCCAATATTCATGGTCATCGAAATGGATTTCCCCATTGGGTGGGAAGAAGGCGTGAGCAAGTTCCCCTGTTGTTCCGTCAAAGCAGTGGTGGATGAGGGACTCCAGGCAGTCTGTGTGATTGATGGAGTAAAATCCTGGGGGAAAAGCAGCAGATTTAGTGTATCTAGCAGGGCAAGCCCAACCGGGACACAGACATCTGTAAACTCAGGGTTTACTAAAAAAGTCTCTTACAGTGTTCCACATGCTTTCTAACCTACAGAGCCACAAAAGGAAAAATAAATGCAAAGCGATTGTCAGGATGATGCAACTGTGATGCAAACGCCCTGTGATGACCCTGCCTTTGGAGCTGTTTCCAACAGACACAGATGAGGCCACTTCTCAGAAAGGAATGCTGAGCTCTTCTTGCAACATCACATGAAAGTTTTGGTTTTTTTGGTTTTTTTTGAGAGAGGCTGGACAGTGAGATGACAACCCCAGGATGTAATTGTTCCATTTAAATGTCAATAAGCGGATAGCCCTGGAGTCATAGCTGCTCGCCCTCTTTTTGCTCTCCTCATGATAGCGTCACAGTGTCCCCTGCGGCCACTGGACCTGGGCCACCTGGAGCTCACATGGCAGCAGGACAGGCCCCCGGGAAGGCTCATCGTGTGCTTGTAAGTAGCGTCATGCAACACGAGTGTGAAGAGCGTGTTGCGAAACGGTAAATCCGCTGGTTATCTGCACAGGAAACAATTATTTCTCACAGACCGTAAATCCCACAAATAGTTTACATCTGGGGTTGAGGCTGAGCAGATAACATCTGCAGCTAGAAGCAGTTTCTCTGCCTGACTGAAGGCAAATGATGCCCCAGCCCCTGTCTGGGATGTCCTGTGAGTCCATACAGCAAAGGAGGACCACCTCCTGCCTCCGAACTCCTCGTTCACGTACTAAAACCCTACGAGTTCATATGGAGGTAACACACACAAGAGCATCCTGTCGGTCCCGGCGCCCACGCAGTCTTACCTATTTTCAAGTCGCTGTCTACGTGTCGCGGCACTTCTCTGAAGCTGAACGGTGACACTTCACTCCACATCCGGAACGCCGCCGCTAGTCCCCTGCGCGTGTCCCTGGCGCTGATGAGGTTTCTCGGGAAGGACAGGATCCTGTAGGAACACAGAACAACGTCAGGAAAACGCTCAAACATCAGCTGAGGGCTCTCAAGGCTGCAGCAGACAATCTCGTCCTTTCCATCCACTCTCAAGAGTAGCTTGAACTGGATATTGAAAATATTTAATAAAATAAATTAGTCCGGCAGGGACTAAGACATTAGCGGTATTCTTTACAGTCACGTGTGCTGGACTGCAGCTTTTGCCCCTCCTCCAGCACTCCATTTGAGACAAGGTTCTCTTGGAAACCTTTTTATCCCAGCATCTCAGTCCGCAGGGCAGTGCTGCTGGAGGAGGAAACCACCACCTGTCAGCAGCTGGCCGGGTACCTCCCGTTCCTAACGCTTAACCTCCCACGTGTGTGCACACCCTGAACTGTAATTCTCGCAGGCAGAGCTTTTGAAAGAGGGTTCCGACAGTCTGATGGTAAAACAAGTTAATTCCTTTGAAAAAAATCTCATCACTTGGGAGAGAGACTCAAGAGAGGTTTTTTCTTAGGCCACAGGTACGGATGCAGCTGAACTGCGAGGAAACTCCTGGTGCAGGACGGCAGCTGCACCATGGAAATTACAGACGGCTCCTAGAAACTTACCTTGTCCCAGGGGAAGATCTGCATTCAGGGAACTGCCTCAAGTGCAGCAACTGGGAAAAGTTGTTTACCTTCTGCTATCCCCTCGGGTTGTTTTTAGCTATGCTCTTTATGTTCTCCCTTCGGCCCAGCACACCCTAAAGGGAGCAGAAGGTTTCGTATCAAGCCAGGCTCTTACTGAGTGTAAACCTGGACAGTCAAGACCATCCTGAGGCTGTTTGGGATGAGAGTAAAGGGGGCTTCGTTCTCTGCTCAGCCCGAGGGAGTCAGGGTCACGCCACCCACTCATTCTGTGTTTGGGCTTCCAGGCAGAACGAACCCCGTGCTGTCCATGGGGAAGTCACCGTGGACTGGTCAGCGCTGCAGCATCGCCCGCTGAACACCACAAAAACCACCGCACAGTGAACAAATCCGGGCAGTGACAGGGACAACAAGATTTCTGTGTGACTGCTGGTGTAACAGCTCCCTGAAGAACAAGAGGTGACTGAAGCATCGGCCACTCCTTCCAAATTATCCTGCTTGAGTCCTAGAATTGCCAAGGGCTTTTAATTGTTTATTTGCCAGTATTCTAAGAGTTGGCATCCTTTCCTGAAGACAAGAGAGATTCCTGAAAGCACTGAAATTCCTGAAGGATTGTAGAAATCCTCCCTACCTGAGAGTGGCTCTAGCAGCCATCCATGCGCTAGCACATGGACTAGCAATAGTCCTGGGGTCAACATCTACGGCAGGAAAAACTCCGACCCCAGTGTCACTTAGAAAATGCTCTTAGGGCTCGGGCAAAGCCATACTTGTATGTCAGGTTGAAGTGGTCCCATTTCAGGTGCCCTGGCGTGATGGTGTACCGTTTCCTCCGCGCTGGAGGCTGAGGTGGGAAGACTGGGCTGTGCAGAGCAGCGGCACTCGCTCCGTGAAGATCACGAGATGCAGCATCTTCCTTAAAAAGACAAAACAGGAGGTTAAAAGATGGGAGAGACTGTAGGATTGAACAGTGTAAAAGAAAAACCAGCAGGTACAGGGCAGTGGGAGGCTGGGGAGCACGGCTGGGAGTCCTGCAGCCGCTCCGCTCTCCTCCTGGAGCAGTGCGGATGGAGCAGAAACGAGGCTTCGGGAGGCTGCTGGCCACAGCAAGTGCTGCAGCTCTTCCTGGAAAGTTTTCATTTCCTTTTCACTTTGCTATTGCTCTCCAACCTCACCACAGAAGAAATAAAATCCCGGACAAATGAGGAAAACAGGCGACCCTTTGTGCAGAGAGCTCTTCATAAAGCTGCACTGCGGGTCTGAAATTCCTTCCAAGCAAAGAGGAACCCTGGAAACCTTGGAGAGCTTTTAAAGCCATCATACAGCAAAAGACATAAAATTTGGTGACAGGTCTGACTCAGACTATAAAGACCTTTCAGTCCTGAGAGATGGAGGTGAAAGAACAGGACCCAACCCGGTTCTCTGGAAGTCTCCCGGCTCTGCCTCCCCTTTCCAGGACTGACACTGAGCATCGCTGGCTCATCTTCACTCCAGAGGCACCAAGACTGTTAGGAAGCGATATTTATAGTGGCAGTGACACAAAAGCTGCACCAGCCTCACAGCACACCGTACAGAAAGCAAGAGCTGTTTCATTTTACTCATGGAAGAGCTGAGGCTCTGAGTCTCGAAAGAGCACATCCCTGGTCTCACAGCAAGCCAACAGCAAGAAAAGGCAAGAAAATGAGTCAGAAACGGCTGCTGCTTCTACAAGAAAGACTCCTGCGGCCCCATGGGAGAAGAATGATTGACTTTTCTATGGCCATTAAGCTTAAAACCCTCAGGTCATACGTGCTGAACAAAACATCTGTGTCCCTAAGCGAGCTTATCCTCAAAATACAAAATGAGGGGTGACTCAGGCCCAGCAGCGATCACTGAAACCTGGGTCTGACCCAGTCACCAGATCCAGAGGGTGCAGGGGGTTGAGTTCTGCTCAGCCTCTGCTCTTTCTTCCACCTGCCGCTGGTACAAGAGGATGCTGTGAATTAAGAACGTGTTGCAAAAGGAACTGGGAAGGGTAGGCACCGCACATGGGCTGTAGCTCGGATGTAGGGTTCTGATGGAGATGGAATGACCCAGTTAAAAAATCCACAGTAGAATTTGGATCAAAGGATCTGTCTGGCTGCCAAAGAACCCAGACTACGGGAATACCCAGAAGTGCAGAGGAGGTCGGCTGCTCCCGGGAGGAAAGGCTGCGGGTTAAAGTCTCAAACATTCCCAAAGCTGGGAGGTGCCAGCAGGACAAGGTGCTCCATCCCTCTCTCAACAGCTGCAATAAACACCAGCACAGACAAACTGGTCACCGTCCCTGCTCTGCATTGTTCGCCCTGGGCAGTCAGACCTCTGTTAATTAACTTCATTAAGTTGTGATGAATGCAATCCATCCCCCTGCCTCTGTCCCAGTCATGCAGTTCCCCTCTCATCAGCTAACCAGAAACAGACCCCGGAGACTGAGAACCAACAGGCAAAAGCCCTGAGCTGGTCATGCCAACCAGTGCTGCTGCCAGGGTCTAGATAAACACAAACAACAGGAGAGGACGCCAGCACTTAGGGAAGATTAGGTTTGAAGAAGATTAAAAGCTAAAATTAAGCTAAAAGCAAAAATTAAGATCAGCTTCTGAGAGTCCAGAGCCTTGCTACAGTTCCCCTGAATTCCAGTCTGTCCCAGCATGTCTTGCTAAGGGATAGACCCTGAAACAGAGTTAAAGTCAGGTAACAGTTTCTGCAGGTCTGGCACTAACTCCCGGCTCAGATCTCGCACCACGAGCCCTGCCTCTGGAGCTCCCAGGAAAGCTCAGCTGCTGCAGAACTCCGATCTGCCACATCATCCCGGGCTGGGAACGCAGAACAACAGTCAAAGCTCTGAGGGAAAACACCCCAAAGCTTTTCCATTCACTGCCTGGTTGTCCACAAGCTGCATGCACATCTCTAATAATCCCACTCTACTCAGATGCGTAATTACCTTTTAGGATCATTTGCAGAAAGGGGCTCAAACAGCCACAGACAGATCCTGTTGCCTTAATGGTTACTTACATATTGTTTACATTGCTTCCTGAATTTATCTGTCTCCTAAAAAGAACACACAGGCACACATGTGTGATGTCCCCACCTCCCTTTTGAGCATTTGAGAATTAGATCCTTTCCCTTACCTGACTCCTCCAAACCGCAGCTCCCGTGGGATCTCCCACAATAACCAGCAAAGCCACCGCAGAGAGTAGGCAGAGAAATCCCACAATGGTTCTACAGCCGCAGCTCTTCCTTCTGTCTGCAGAAACTTGTTCTACTTGATCCATGTCCTCCTTTAACACTTTTCGGCAGGAGATGCGACAGACACTAGGACACTCTCCCCCCCGAAGGCATTGGTGATCCCTGTGCTCACAGCTGCATTTGGAGCATTTCTGAGCAGCCCTGCAGTTACTGCCACTGGAGTTTCAAAAAGCTCTAAAAAAAAAAAAAAATTAAAAAAAAATGTAGACTTTACATTAAGCCTCTTTCCAATGTGCCAAAGATTCTCTCAGCCCCTGCCAAGTGGTTTCATGTTACTGCAGCTGAAGTTCGGGCTGGCGGAGGGAAAGCAGCAAAGTGAAACAAGCTGGGATGGCCATGAACTCTTTTCTTTAACCAACTGCACAGAGGACAGATCTGCAGTTGTCAGCTTTATGTAATGAAAAAATTGGGGGAGGGGGTAGAAAAAGGAATCCAGAAGCCAGCATCATGGCCCTGGAATGTTTCATGAGGGATGCTGAAGGCTGGAAGAGCTGTCATTCGTCAGGGGCTGTCTGCAGGAGCAGAGTGAAAAATGCGATGCTGTGAGAGCAGGCAGCGCTCCTCCGCTTCGGAAATTCGGGTCAGGGAGTTGACAAACTCCGAGAAAAGTAAACATCAGCTCCCTCCTCCAGAAAACTTGGCAAGGGACTTGCAAATATCTTCTGTACTCGGGAGCTGCCTAGTAAGGGGTCATCATGCTGAGAAAGACGAGTATTCCAGAATCCCACTGACTCCGGGTACCGCAGCTCCAGCACGTCAGAAGGACCGACCTGGAGGAGAGATCAGTTTCTCTTAAGCTGTTTGCTTCTGTCAGGCATTTCCAGGCTGCGGACACAAAGTCAATTCAGGACTTTTTAAAGAGCTTACGCAGAAATTCTCAGGTTTTCAGAAGGAGCTGCACTTTTCTGCGTGGTCACCGAGCGCTGGATGCTCGGGGCTCCCGAGGTGGCGTGTCCCCAGATGAACGGTTCTGGACAGAGGAAAAGCTCCTGGTGTCACCAGCAAATGGCAGGGAGGGGGTAGTTCTGTTGCCAGCCCGTATAAAACATCCCTAGGGGATATCTGAAACATTTCAAAGGCTTCATCAACTTCTGGCACTTTTAGGAATTAAAAATGATTTCCTTTCGGTAACGTGGAAGGACATTGCAGATAGAATGACAAAGGAAAGCTGAAACCAGGAGGAAGAAAAAGAGCAGGAGGCAGGGGCATGGGGCTCAAACTCCTCCGGACCACAGCAGTCTGATCCTGGCTCATCTCAGCTTCAGCTGTGACTTTCCAGGGATAGTTCCACCCTTCGGAGCAGCACAGCTGGCAGAACGGAACATGTCTGTGTGTGAGCACTTTGAAAAGTGCTTTGCTCGGAGCTTAAAGAGTGGTGCAAGCACACCTCCCTCCCGCTGTGGTCTGAGCTGTAGATCACAGCATGAAGTGAGAAGCTCCTGAACCTACCAGTGTCTCAAGCACCCTGAGCAAGTTTCCATCAGAGTCTGCAGACAAGCACACACCTGCAGAGACTGAGAAAGGAGTCAGGAGGTAAAAACCTGCCTTCGAATGGGGCTCAAAAACTTCAGCCAAGAGTAAAGGCACATTCTTAAGGACCTCATTGTTTCCAAGTACTTATCCATGCAGCCACTAAAGGTTGGCACACCCAAGCCCTTTTCCACCAGTTACTGAAGCATTCTGAATGGGGAAGAGCCCACGTTGTCTGTTGCACCTCGATGGATCAAAGTGAGAGCAGGGTTTCTTGGAGAGCAGTTCACCTCCCCCCCGTATGCTGGGGACGCCCTGTGCCCATCCACGCAGGCATTCAGTGCCTGGCCATCCATCCAACTTCACCAAACCACCGGCTGCAGAATGCTTTCAAAACTTTTAAAATTTAAGCCAAGTATTTGCTTAGAAACCAGCTCAGCAGTAAAGCCAAGACAAACCTCAGTTATTATGGCAATGAGAGTCAGATGAGGAAAGCTCTGATGCTGAGCTATTCAGAATTTACAGATGCAACTCACGGAGCGAAGGGAGACACACGAACTCACTGCTGCGCTCGCTAACAATGCTCCTGATACAGTCACTGTGCATCTGGACCCTGTGGTGCACAAGCTCTGGCCAGCACCCTCAGTGCTGCTGCTGGTAAAAAGGGAAATGCCAAGTTGACACTTAAGTTCATGAATAGCGAGGTTGTTAGATTCCAAGCACAGCTCTCTTTGTAGGTATTTTAAGAATTATTAGGACCAGAGTGCACATCTGTTGACATTTCATCTGTTCCCTGCCCTGGGGGTTATCACAGCTTTCCCAAGAGATACTTGTGCTTAAAGACTCTCAAATGCAGCCACCAGTGGCCTCAAACCCACAGCACTGGTCAGAACTTAAGCCTCTTTCAGATGCTTCAGACAACTCCCCAGACTCCCTCTGGGAGCCAGTGTCGCGCTGTGCCAAGGGCAAGAAGTTGGTCTGAACTCTGCAGTTTTATCTCTGTCTTTCCCAACAGCTGGAAATATTCTCCGTGCTTTAGGAAGCAACCCGAGGCCCCGGAAGGACGGGGTTTGTACCAGTGCAGAGAACCGCTGCTGGGACTGCGGAGCGCTGATGAATGTGAGAGGTCTCAGGTTCCGAAGCGCAGATATTTGGTTTGGACAAGAGGAGAGAACTGTCATCCTGACTATATTTGGACAGCAAACCATTCCTGGCTCTGGTTTCTGCAGAGTGTCTAAAGGCAACGGAACACATTACAGTGCGAGGGAACCCAGCTGGTGCGATGGGGAGCAGGAAAAGCAGGGAGGGGACGGAGCCGACTCTGGTTCGTCTTCACGCGGGCAGCAGCAGTGACCAGGACCCAGGTATCACCCGCAGGGAGCTGGGATTTTCTAAGCAGACAGTCGGGGGATGCAAATCCCAAGATCTCAGCAGGCAGTAAATGCCACACGGAAAAGCAGGCTCCCAACAGCTGGTGGAAGGGAACGAATGCTGCATGAAACCTGCAATGGTCAACTGGAGACTACGGAGAACACAAAGCGTTGGACTGTTTGCACAACACAACATGTTGTACAATCACCTCAGTCTTGCTTTGCTCTTTTCAGTCTTCATTGCTGAAAGTTTTAGTTTCAAGTGGGGCTGCTGTATAATGCACAACATACGGCTACATTCCCAAGGGCAAGGTTTAGCTCAAAAATAAATCCTTTCTCACTTCTGTGGATTATTCTTAGCATTTCCCTCCTCCCGCTAACATTCAATGTTACGTTCAGCACTGTTTCCAAATGGTTCTCTCTGCATTTGCCACCTCTCGTGAAATCTCTTATTTATTAATAGATTCAATGGATATTATCCAGCATCTCAAGGCGTGAGCATCAGCGTTTCATCTCCAGGGCACCAGTCCAAACCCAGGCCACAGGCAGGGGAGGGGGAGTGCGTGCAGCTGAGTGGGATTTACCACGGATCGGCTCCTTGGTGGCCCATATGAAAAGAATTAGCAAATCCTCATATAGCTCTTATTTTAAAAAGCACTTACATATTTATCTCCCTTCCTCTCACAACTTGGGGAAAAAAAAAAGGCAACCCAACATTCTTGCATGGTTCCTGTGGGAACAGCAGTTAAACTTTTTCAGTGGGTCACAGACCAAACAGGCTCATATCTGCTGTAGCAGGGAGCGACATTCCCCAGGGAGGGGGGGAAAGGATGTTCTTTGGTCCCCAAGCATTCTCCCACCTTCTGCCATGCAGCCCCTCGTGATTAGCATCTGCTGATGTTCCTAGAAAAAATCCATGGTCGGCTGAATAGCCAATGAGCTGAAAACAAGGGCTTGCTCCAGCTGGCAGAGAAAATGGAATATTTTGCTTAACTGTCAATTCGGAGCCGCAGCTCACAGCGGTGCCTGCACTGGCCTGACCTCCTGTTACCAGAGAGATGTGGTCCTGACCCTCGTCAGAAGCTCCGCAGCCCAGTCACGGCCACGTGTAGTAGAATTTCAGGAATGAAATGAGGGAGGAATTTTTCTCGATACACAGATAACAAAGTGTGTCCATAACAGAGTAAGAATTGCTTCCCTGGGTGGGGATGTGTCTGTTGCTGCTCTTTGCTGGGCTACATTAATCTGTGATCCCTTTGTGATGGACCAATCCTCCTGAAACCCTGGGAGCAGCATGGACTAGCGGGAACATAATCAAAGAAGTGGGATCTTCTCCTGACTCTGCCTCGTGACAAGCAGCCTCCCTCTCTCTACTCCCTCGGACTCATGCTGTCTGTAGAACACAGAGTTTTGGCCACACTTCCAAAGGAAGTGCTTTAGAAACCCCGGTTCTGAGTACGAGACAAGCTGCCGTCTTATATTTACAGTTTTACACCAGAAAGATTCAGCGAGAGCTTTCCCTTCCAAAACCGCTGCCGTACATCGCTGCACGGTACAGAGCTGCGCTGCAGGAGGTGGCAGAAGCCCCAGAGAAAACAAGGAGCTCCCCAGCTCATTTGCAGAAGACCAACTGGTAACAAACATCAAGCAGAAGGTTACTCGCTATCCCCACTGATTAGCTAATGACAATATTTGTCTTTTGCCTTTCAAGGAGCATTTGCCTGCTGCTCTGCCATCCTCTCACCTCTCTTCAGCCCTTGCCCTTCCTATAACCAGCAAGAACACCCACTGGGAGCAAAAGGAGAAAGGGAGGAACATCAGAGCCTCCGTCACTTCTCCAAAGCCGCAGACTCCCACGGAGCTGAGCCTGTCACGGGGGGCAACGCTTGCCCAAAGCATACCTGGCACACAGGCACCTGCTTGCCTTCGGGGATCTCGGGTTCCTGCGGCTCCACTGACCATCTTGTTTCTTCTCTGTCGTGGTGCAGCAACTCCCTTCTTACTGGGAAAATGAAAGGGTCAAAATGGTGCTTAACAGCTCGACTCTTGCTCCTCAAAAGCAATCACAGCAGGACCGAGGAAATGAAAGAATAAACTCCCAACCTGAGCGCTGTGGTTCCAAACCGTTTCTGTCGTCCTTCAGCAGGTGTGTTACACTGGGCAAAGCTCCATCTCTAGGGTGGCCA